TTTTTTTAAACGAAAAAGTTTGCCATGATCAGAAAAAAATTAATGAAGACCTGAGAATGTTACAGTTGACGAATTATAAGTATGTTTCAGATATAAGGTGTACGATGGGTCCAAAAACATATGTACATTCAACAATGGTGCTAAAATGGCCTCTAAAATTAAAAAAATTTCTAAAACCAAGCTTTTCTCTTCACCACTTACTCTGAGAAATGACACGGTGGTTTTTGTAAACAGTCGAAAAAGTTCCAAAAAAATGGTCAAAATTAATAACTGAGTTATTTAAAGGGGGTAATTTTTTTAACTAAAAAATATAGGCATATTCACTTAATTAAGTTCGGTTTTTCAGTTTTCTCTAACCTGTTGTTTCAATGAAACCCAAAAACTCTGAAACGGTCACAAAATTCAGTTTTTAACTATTTCGAGGGCCATAATTTTTCATGCCAAAGTAGTTTGGGCGTAGTCGCGTATGCGAAGGATATTTGTTTTTCACAATACGTTCTTTAGGTTCAACCCAAAGTTTTAGATGGATGAGTATTTCTTCAGAAAAATTAAATTAACAATAAACAATCAATAGATAGATTTTAGTGCGAAAAATTGTGACTTTCCGCAAACCCTGGTGAGCTCACTACTACCCGTTATGTCCATTGAAACCATCATCTCATGCTTGAAAGGTTAGTTTCGAGAAAAATTAAAGTAGTATTGTAATCCGCCGTGTGTCCTTAGGGGGGGGGGGGGTCTTTTCGACGGTAGGGGTCTTTGGGGTGCTACCAAAAGTACGGTCCAAAAGCACCCATCTTTTTGAAAGACCCCAAAGTACCCTGCCCGAAATTAAAAGACCCCTCTCTTAGGACATCCGACAGACAAAAAACTTTGGTATTTGTTTTCGCGCGGTGATTAAATTTAATCCCTTCCAAACTTTCCCACTGTTCAACTAAATAAGTTGGAGACCTCATTAAAAAACTGACCTGCTTGAGAAGGACGAAGGACGTGACAAATAATAAGAGGGTAGGAAAGTAAGTAGAACTTGATAAATAATAGATAAAGTAACATATAAAAAATAAAAAAAAATAAAAACGGAATGTTGACAGGAGTACGGATAGGAGAGCAAAGGATGGGTTTACGGCCACAGCCGCATGTCGTCTTCGGGATCCGACCAAAGGACATGAAGAATACTGACTAGACGCTCCATTTGAAATTTGAAGCGCCACTCAGTACTCTCGAATCCCGCACCCAGAGACTCGCACAGCCAGAAATTTTCCATGCTCCCCACATCAACACACACATATTCAAATATGCCCTCCTTTTTCTCAAATGCAACCTCAAATGCAACCTCAACTTAAAACTCGCTGCAGTGGTGGCCGGGGTAAGCTCTACGGTCAAACCAAAGAAATTTTTGCCTTCGTGAGTTCCAGGTCCCACATAAGGCAAATCAATGGGTGACTCGTGGAGACCACCAAGGGGAATATCCATCTAAACACATGAAAATAGGTTGAAATCATTATTTAGAAATCCTTTAAACTACAGTTCACTAACAAAGTCCCATTAACATCCATTTATAACGATTATAAACAGTCAAACATTTGATGTGACAATTTCTTCTATAGAAGATAAAAACATGTTGATGAAAAACAAACTCCGCAAAATGAGTTTATTAGGAAATTGGCATACTGAAGATATTGATAGTGAACGATTAAAATTCTCTGTTTTTTCAACTGGTTCTTGGTCAAAAAATATCCACATTCACAATTTTCATATAGTGTATATTTTTCGGTGGAAAGAAGTGTCAAATCATACCTTTAAGGAATACGAGCAAAGTTGTAAAGAACAATTTTATTTGAGCGAGCTATTTTGCAAATAACCTGGTGCATATTTACGAAGCAGAAATATGGCAAAGCGACCGATCTATCGATTGTTACTTATGAAAACTTTTTTGATTACTCGAATGATTTTGAGTCAATTCTGATTGAGAAAGGAGTGGAAAGAAAAATTCGACTATGTTTCAATAAACGTTTGAAATACCGAAAACTACCCGTGATTTACTTAAACATATATCAAAGAGATATAGGAGTGAGCAAGTGGTATCTAGAAGGTTACTTTTAATTCCACTGGCTTGAAATTCAGCAGGTCGGAGAAGTGCTGGAAATAATAGAAAACGAACTTGGAAAAACGTAGAGTTACTTCAAAAGACTTGGAAATTATTCATAAAATTTTTATTACTTTGAAAAAAACCTATTCCGAAAACACCAACCGTCGAAATTATTTCTAAGCTACATGTTCTTCTTCTCAACTACTGATGATATAAATTACGACGTAGCTATCAAGTTGAGACCCTATCGGGGTCTGATCGGTATAGACAATTCTTCTTTGGATAAATAACTAAATGATTCGAAAATTTCACGAATGCATGCTATTTTACACGATGCCGCCGGTTTTGTCCGCGAAAATTATAACACCGGTCCCACATACTGTTTTGTTTTACCATGGAAATGCAACAGTAGTCTGATTGGTCACTTGAGTGGAATTACGTTTTGTTTGTATATCAAACTGAAAAAACCGAAATTCTACCATTTATTAGAATGCTGAAGGAAAGATCAGTTGTGTTGGATTTTGAGGGGTTTCGACACCAGAAAAACACATTTATAGTAAAAGAATTAGCTATAACCACTTCCGACTACAGTGATTCCCTAATTTTTCTACCTCCAGTTAATTTCAATTCCCTTCCAAAATCTGAACAAAAAGCCTACAACTGGCTGACAAATTATTTGCACGGACTTCATTGGGATAGCGGTGATTATTTATATCTCAATTTGAACCAAATCATTCAAAATTTTGTCTTAAGAAACCCCAATGCTATATTCTACGCCAAAGGAAAAGAAAAAGCTGATTTTTTATCCAAATACTTAGACCGCAAAGTTGTGAATCTTGACGGTTTGGGCTGTCCTCGAGTCGAACAAATATTTTTCAAGAATTTTGTGAATTGTAACAAACACCTACCGCACCATAACTCTAAAAATCATTTTGCATTAAAAAAGTCGAAAGCCTTCTATGATTGGTTGAAAACTGAGTGTCAACAACGAGCGTCAGGGGAAAGTGGAGACATACATATCTCCAGATTCAGTTCTTTGTGCTTGGATGACACCAGAAAGTAACATAGAGATTTCATTGACCAGGATTGAACGCATTGATTGTAGAGGCCAAGTAGTTCAACGAAAAGAACAAGTTAAACTTTCTGAAGAAGAGTTGTGCACTTTGAGGAGGTTCTTCCCCGTAATTGACCAATTCATCTACTTTCAACGATTCAAATACATCAGTAATGTTACCCAGCAAGCGCGGTCTTTGTCTTTCCAAGCTAGTCGTAGTGCCCAAACGTCAACCAAGAGTTCAAATGGATCTAACCAGCAGTGAACTACCCAATGAGATTCAAAAAATAATAAGAGAAGCTTCTGTGAAGAAAATTGTGTATTATGCCAAAACTGATCATGTCCCAGCCAATTATGTTTTGAAAATGCACTATGATTTTGATGATGATAATAAACCGAGTTTCTATACAGGTTATACACGATATGAAATTTATTACTGTTCAGATGCTTAATTATTTTTTTTTATATATGTAAATATATATTTTTTATTCTGCAAGTTCGAGAGTGAGAGAAAGCGGTAGGCAAATTGAAGTGAATGACACAGTAGTTGACGAGACTGATGGAACTATAGTTACCGATTTTGTGTATGACGAAAATCATACGGAGAAAAAATCATAGAAATTTTGCAATAATTTGACTGTACCACGGTCTGAAGTAGTTTTCATGTCACAAATGGTGTTAATTCTGATTTTATTGTCTTTTTGTATCTTTAAACTTTCATTAACGCAGTTAACTTATGAAGAAACCTCAGTTTGGTTCTCAATTTTATCGGGTTTAGTTGGTTATGTTTTACCAAATTCAAGAATATTAACAAAGTTATTGATACATCTACGAGACTTTTTTTGGCCATCGTGGGCTCCTCGGGTTCTGGAAAAACAGAGCTGATATTCAAAATGTTGAAAGGAAAAACATTTTATCCCAAATTTCAAAGAGCCATATACTTTTACAAAGAGATTCAGCCTCTTTATAGTGAAAAATCCAATACCCACAGCATTGATCTAACTTTCATAAATTCAATGGGTTTGACAGTTTGCGAAACCTTGAAAACATTCATCTAGTTTTTGATGATTCATGCGAAGAAATCAATAACGATAAAGACTTTGTCAAATTTGCAAAAGCAGGAAGACACCGAGGACTAGATGTAATATATGTTAAACAGAATTTGTTCCAACAAAGCAGATGGTCTCGATCAATTGATTTAATCACATCACACATCATTCTGTTCAAATCACCTCGTGATATTCCGCAACTTGATCATCTTGGAAGACAATTGAACAACACTAAATTATTGAGAAACTGTTATCAGTTCACTACAAAAGACACATACGGTCATCTTTTAACCGACTTGGATCCGCGTACATCCGATTGTTTGAGATATTGTTCAAACAATACACCACCTGGTCCCTCAATTTTTTACTTACCAATAAACCAGGCAGAGGTTACACCTCTCACAAATGAACGCGAAAAAATTATCTATTCTGCAGCACATGGTACAATTGAATCCCAGCCAGCTCCGAAGCTTCATTAGAAAAACAACAAATCCTCAAGTTATTTCAGTTATATGTGAATGTTTGCTCAATGTAGTCAATGGCAATGTATCTGTTAATATTCCAAACATTGAAACTTTCCAAGGGGCATACAAACTTTTAATCAGCCTAAAAACAAAACTTGAACAAAAACGAGCAATTATTCTAACGAAACAAGGTTTCAACTTGATCAAACTGATACTTTACTTCTGCTACAGATACTTACCATCAGCATAAAATATGGCAGCAGAAGAGTTTGTTTTAATTCCAAAACATACATTTACCCAAGAGCAGCCGCATGCATCTTAAGTGCTACTTAACAGTTCAATTAAAGCCCCAGTTATCTTACTTGAACCGCATGAGACCTCTAATACGCCCGAAGCAAAACTCAGTATCGACTGAAACTCTTCCACTACCCCTTCCACCAACACCTCCCTCAACGCCTCTTGTTGACCCTGGGGAACAATCAACAGGACTTCTTACAGACGATGAGACTAATCAATATCTGGAAGGTGGGGAGGAAGAGGAGAATTAGATTGTGGATGAGAAGGAGCGAAAGGATAATAAAAGAAACTATGAACGCATTCTATTACAATTGCAAATAATGGAGGATAAAAAATTCACGAGAGCTAAAAATATCCTGGAGGTTATCAAAAGGTCAACTCGAGTCTCAATAAACGCCATGGATGAAACAATTTATGTTGACAATGTACCAACCGGTCTCAAAGCAGCATCGGTTTTGTACGATATACAACAGCAAACTAAAACACTACACAACCCCGCTTGCATAATGATTTTATCCGCTCTCGAACTTACCGAAGAGTCTGTTATTAACAAGTATGCGCACAAGAATGCGCACAGTTATTAACAAACACGCGGTTCAGTCAAAGATTAAAAAACAGGCTCAACGAAGAACCAAAAGTCCAACCAAATCTCCGTCAACCTCGGGTAAAACAAAAACCCCCGACAGTAGTAAGCCATCATCAAGTTCAAAACAAACCAAACGACTCAAAACAAGAAAGAAAGCCACCACGGAAAGAGTCAAAGAAAAAGAGAAAGACGAAGACGACAATGAATCTTACGGTACGCCCTATAACGAGTCAGATTCTTCCACGTCAGAAAAGACGGAGACGTAAAGTAAAAGATAGGAAACCTACACCAACTGAGGAAAAACTTTTGAAAAAGAGTTACACAGATAAAGGACCAGCATTGTTCGGCAGCGTTAAAACTTTGAAGGCTACAACGGTCATACCAACGCAAAAAATTAAACATTTTTTTTATACAGAACAAGCTTATACAAAATACCGAACAGTTTGCCGCAAAATACCTCGGCTTAAAGTGATAGTTTATGACATAAACAAAATATGGTCAATCGATTTGGCATATGTTGATAAACTAGCAAAAAACAACAAAGATATCAAATATCTTTTAGTTGCAGTAGATTGCATGTCCCGTTATCTTCGCGTGCAGCCACTGAAATCAAAGTATGCCACAACAACTGCAGAAGCGTTCAATCAAATGATAAAGACAGAGAAACCGAAAAAATCTGGGTAGATAAAGGCAACGAGTTCAAGGGGTCATTCAAAACTTTATGTGAGAAAAAGGGTATCAAAACATACACAACAGAAAGTGAAAAGAAGGAAGGCCGCTTTCGCCGAGAGGAACATTCGATCACTAAAAAGTTTGATTTATAAGTATTTGGAGGACAAATGGACCTACTCTTGCATCGATAAGCTTCAAGACTTTGTCAACACAATAAATTCGAGAATAAACCGTGTCATCAAATTAGCCCCCAATAAAGTGACAAAAAAGGATGTTCCACGTCTAGTTTCATCAAGAGCGGGACAATCATTGAAACTAGTTCGCCGACCAAAGCTCTACGTCGGCGATTTTGTGAGAATAGCAAAAATTGACATCCCTTTTCGAAAAGGTTATAAGCAATCCTTTACTGACGAAGTTTTTGAAATATTTGACATACCAACAAGGAACTCACCGACTTATAACTTTATCGACGCTGATAGAGAACCAATAGAGGGTAAGTTTTATGAGCCCGAACTAATCAGAGTATTGGAAAAGTAAGGGTCAAGCTAAACAATGTCTAGCAACTTTTGAGGTGACAAAGATTCCTTTAGTATTACATTGGTGTCATCAACCTCAATGAATATCTTCATTGAAATTTCACTAGCGAGTTTTAAAAACCTGCTGAGTGAAGATATCGATCTGCAAGGCTAATGGAGAGTTGCATTGTCAGAAATAACGTTTCCCACTCATTTTAACAATGTAACAGATACTAAAATAGTGTACTATAAAAAAGACAAAGTTAAAGCAAGTCTTAAAGTGGCAAAAGATAAAATATCTAGACCATATGATGGAGAGAAAATTGAAATAACAAAGGGTGAATATGGCGAAATTGAGAAACTTTTCAACGAAATCAACCGGAAGGTTGCTCTTGATAATTTCACTTATAGCGTCCCCCCCTTTACCAAACATCTTTCAATTCGGATGCATTATTGGGAAGGCATTACCTTTAAGAGCCCACAAATTTCTAGTATTTTAGGTTTCAAAGGTATAAGAGATGGAACGGACTACCCTATCGGCTATAAAGAATCCAGTCATATTCATAGCACTCTCACATCGCAAAACTTCATTTGCGACTACCCTGTCGATATCTCTGCTGGAACCCGAATGATGTTTATCTACTTGGATATAATCCATGATCAGATTGTGGGTGAAGCCAAAATACCTTGCTCAGAGTCATTGATACTAATCGACGAGTGAAAAACAGTTACGTTTGCTGCATTGAACCAAATCATCGCAAAGTTTTTTGCAACTTAGATTATAAAAAACTCCTCGTGAATAACATCCAGAGCATTGCAGTAAACCTACGAACAGAAACCGTTAGACTTGTACCGTTTGCGGGAGGAGGAGGAAAAATTGTTTTGACTTTAAATGTTCAAAAGTTTTCAGATTAAGATTATGGAGGCATACTATCATAATAAAGCGACCATGCCTCACTTCTCAGGACATTACAGACAGCGGGGAGCGGCTTCGGTGCTCTGGCTATGAGTATTGGACGATTAGCACTTCCGTTAGCTCGGAAATTTATAGTACCAGCAGCAAAACGTATTGGAAAAGAATCACTTGTTCAAGCAGCACCCGAATTAATAGAGATAGCATCCAGGAAGAAAACGCCCAAACAAGCCTTGAAAAACACAGTAAAAACAAAATCAAAAAACAAGTTGGAGCTGGACGCAGCAAGTCCCGTATGAGCAGAAAATGGAAGACAGCAACAACAACAACAAGAAAAAGAAAAACAAAAGCTCTCATTCCAAAGAAACGAACTCCACTGAGAAGTCGCTCCAACTTTTTCACCAAAGTACGAAATGATTTCTAATTTATTGCCAACTGAAGCAACTCACAGCTCATTAGTTTTATTCGAAAAGCCTCTTCTACTCGTTACATTTGAAAATGCATTCATTCAAAAAATTGGTCCATCTTATTCACCTGATGGTCCTATGCTCGAATTTGAAGTTTTAGGAGATAGAAACAACTTTATCGATCTTCAAGGAACTCGCTTGGAGATTGTAGCAGGCGTTGTTCAAAATAATGGCAATGTACTGCGAACTCATGCTACAGAGGCAGCACAACGAGACACCCAATATTTGATTAATAATCCACTTTCATCTTTATTTTCCGAATGCACAATGTCCTTGAATGGAGAAAAAATTTCAACAACCAATGCCAATTTTGCCCATGAGAGTTTCATTGAGACCGAATTTTCACATGGTAATGATGCAAAGAAAACATAACTTGCTTGTCAAGGTTATAACTATGAAGATAATCCATCAGGTTTTGATGGTGCTAATGGGCGAGCTGAAAATGTCGCTGAACGTAAACGAATCGTAGCTGCATCAACCGAATTCCGTTTAATTGGTAAAATTGCTTGTGATTTTTTATCATGTGACAAGCATCTTATCAGCGGTGTTACAATAAGAATTTCTCTGAGACAATCTCCTAATGACTTTGTTATCATGTCTGAGCATAGAGATAAACATTGCAGTGTTGAAATCACTGAGGCTAACCTATATGTGCGCAAAATGACAGTAACCGATTTTGTGCTATCGTCGATAGAAAAAACTCTTTTGAAAACAACCGCAAAATACAATTATATTGAAGTTTTACCAAGAAATTTTTTGGCCACAACTGGTGTGCAAAGCTGGCGACAAGAAGACGTTCTTGCATACCTGGGAACTAACCGAACAAAACCGTTTCCTTATCAAAAATTTCAGCTGAATGAAATCATTGTTTACTGAAACGGTCTACCCATTGCAGGAACTCCTGTGTCAACGACTGATAACAAAAGACTATACTATAACACATTGGAAGCTCTAGACTTTGTTTTTAACAATAGTCATGGAATCAGTTTGGCTAATTATCACAATCATTATATTATGGCCTTTGATCTCACATCTACTCAGGAGGCTTCACATGACATTATTCATCCTGAATTGACAAATCGCAACATTTCAGTAGAACTGAAGTTTGATGCACCGCTGGGGGAAAATGTAGAGTTACTTTTCATGGGAGAGCGTGCATCAACAGTTTACGTGCGTTCCGATAAAAAAATAGCTAAAAACACTCTAATGAGTTGACTCGGTGAAAAAAACGGACAATTTACAGATTACTGAGCTTATTCACCGATGCAAGCATTTGAAACATCGGTTTCGCGGCATTTTTCCCGCTAACTTAGCATTTAATACAATATTGAAACGCGACAATACTTTCATGATAGTGAACGCATCAAACTCAGACCAGCCAGGAACTCATTGGTTACTGTTTGCTCAAGCTGGTGGTCAAATCTTTTTTGCAGATCCTCTTGGACGAAGCCTACACAACTATCCACATGTATACAAAAATATGAGACGTTCTATCCATGAGGGAAACCAATTACTGATGAATAAGCCAATCCAATCAGCTAACTCGGTCTTGTGCGGCCTTTATTGTATTTATGTTGCTCATGTTATAATTTCATCTAAATTTCCTATAGGTTTCAAGGTTAACAACCATGACATGATGCGTTTTGCTAAACAAATGATGTTATAACTTTGTGATACTGATGCATTTCTTTAATGATTTATAATTTATTTTTTTAAAAACGTGTTTTATGGTTAATAGAACACTTGCCTCTGTCGTTATCGCAGGCTCTAAAAACCGTTTTCAGAAATTAAATTTCTTTTCCATTATAAATTTAACAAACAAGGTATTTGAGTCAATCTCTAAACGACCATACCCACTCAAAATAATATCAATAATTTTAGAAAACTCGGCGGCATTATCACCATTCAAAATATTAATGAAGCGTTCAATTGTTACATTAGTGATTAAATCAGTTTGAGTTTGAATGGATCGAGTTTGTGAAGCAAAGCAAACTTGTGGCAATCTTCTTCGTAGAGAAGCACCACCAATGTCAGTTGAGTTGTTAATAGAATTGTTGTAGTTGACAGCAATTTTTAATTTTTCCATCAGGGGTCCCGA